GTCCCGCCCCGATCAGGGGAGAGGAGAACACGCTTTGGAGCCACACCTGGGTTTGTGGCACTTACAGACTCTCATCTGACCCCTCCAAGCCCTCAGTCTCCTCGTCTGTAAGATGCGGACACTGACGCTGGTCTCCCACGGCTCAGATGAGAATAAAATCCCAACTACGCTTGCAAAACCGAAAGCCATAACCTATTGTCACTGCTGCTCGTGGAAACCACACACTGGTCCCCCCTCCCTCGGTCTCCCTGCCCCAGGTCCTCCTCCTCCTCCACCCCTGCACGGTGGCAGGGCCTCTCGGGTGACATCTCCCCCCATCCCACCTCCTGGAAGTCATGTTCTTGTGGAACACCCTCCCCTTGAGTCGGGCTGAGCCTAGCGACTCGCCTCTACCATCGGAATATGACAGAAGTCATGAGGTGTCACTTCTGAGGTTAGGTGCCAAAAGGACTGCAGAGTCCATCTTGTTCACGCCCTCCTGCAAGAGAGGGAGCTGCCCCCCTGTTGTGTGCTGCCCTGTGGCCAGGCACCGCGGGAGGTCCCGGCCCAGCAGCCTTCAAGGAACTCACGCCCTCAGCCCAACAACCTACCAGGAGCAGGTTGGGAAAGACCCCCAGGAGTCCGCTTTGAAGTGGCCGCAGCGCCCGGTTGGGCCGTTCGCTCCCAGTGAGAGACCCTGGCAGAGGCAACGGCGAAGCTGCGCTTGGACTCCTGCCCCACAGACATCATGACAAAGAGGTGTCGTTGGAGCTGCTGAGTGTGGGGTGATTCCTTACACGGCAGGAGCTGACTGATACCGGCCTCTCCGTACAAGCATTACCTCGGATCTCTGCCCCCCTGTTCTCAGGCTCCGCTTCTCAGGCTCCTCCCACCACTCCGGCTACTCCTCCCTGGCTCCTCCTTTGCTCAGTCTCTCACGGTTGGCTGGGGGGCTCATCCCTGGGTCCTCTCCTCTACACACATGACCCCTGGATGAGCTCCCCCAGCCTTGGCTGTAAGTACCCACTATGGGCTGAGGACTCCCGAGCCTGAATCACCCATCTGCTCCGCCCTCGAGGACGCCACGGGCTGCTTGGTGTCTAACCTGCATCTCAAACTAACCCCCTACCATTAGCAACATCTTCCTCCCCATCATTATCAAACTTCCAGGGGTCATCCTTGTTTTCCTGCTCACCCTCAGAACCCTCCGCCTGCCACCCAGCCCATCAGCGAGCCTGGAGGACCGTGCCTCCAAGACACCCAGGCAGCCGTGCGGCCATTTCTGGCCCCGTGCACCTGCCCAGGCCCCCACTCTCCGCTCTCACCTGGACCATTGCAGTAGCCTCCTGCCTGCTCTCTGGCTTACACCGCGCCCCCGGACAGGTGCATTCACCACTCAGCTGCCAGACCCGTTTCTTATGCCAATAAGATCACGTCCCTTCCCTGATTAAGGCCCCCCAAGTCTTCATAGTGTACTTAAAATGAAATCTACCCCCTACCTGGGATTATAAAGCCCTCTCTCTGCTGGCTGATCCCTCGCCAACCCGCTAACCCTGCTGCCCGATGACCCGCACCCCCAGGGCCCCAGGCACATGGCGCATCATGTGGTGGGAGAGAAAGCCCCTCTCAGCAACCTGGGCCTTCTGATCTGAACCAGCTGCCAGGCGCAACCTCACACCCTCTCTACCTGTTCTCTGCAGAGCGCGGAGCGCACATCACTATAAGGTGTGTCTTGCTTGACGCTTATTGCCCTCTCTGCCATCAGATTTGCAAGCGCCCCAAGACCAGGAGGAAGGCGAGACCTCGGTCACATTGCCCCCCATCACACACAGCCGTGCTGGCCCTCGGGAGACACCCAGTGGATAGATCTTCAGGAGAGAGAGCAATGGAGGAAGGGAGGGAGGGGAGGAGGGAGGGAAGACAGAGGACGGAGAAGAAGGGAAGGACAGACGATGGGCCCTCTTTCCTGAAATCCAGATCTTTACATCTGCTATTAAGTTGGCTGGAGTCCTTGCTCCTCATCCCATCAGCAGGTGGGTCTACGTCCCCTTCCCTTGAATCTGGGCGATGCTATCACCGCTTGACCCATAAAATATGGCAGTAACTGATGCCACACAACATCCACAGGCAGACCCTAAAAGACTGGCACTTCTGGTCTCCCAGCAGGTCGGCTCTGGGGCCCTGAGCTGCCACATAAGAACCCTGAGACCCCCACTCTCCATGCTAGAGAGCCCATATATAGATACTGCAGCCGAGGGTCCCGCTGAGCCCTCCCAGCCACCCCCACCCCAGCCACCAGATCTTGGACCCTCCAGCCCAGCCTGCCCACCAGCCTCAGTTGATGCCGTGAGGGACAGGAGAATTTCCCAGCGAAGCCCCGCCAGAAGTTCTAACCCACAAGGTCCTAAGACCTAATCACACGGCTGTTTTTTGTTGTTATGGTTGTTTTATTTTTTTTAGAGAGGGAGAGAGAGAATCCCAATGGGGGACTCGATCCCATGACCCTGAGATCATAACCTGAGCCGAAATCAAGAGTCAGATGCTTAACCAACTGAGCCACCCAGGTGCCCCAAACAGCTGTCGTTTTTGTCCTCCATTTGGGGTCATTTGTTACGCAGCAGTAGGAAACCCAACATCAGCCTGTTGGCTACGTTCACCTGGGTGTCTCAGAAGCACCGCAAAAATGCACGTGTCCAGTACTAAACTCAGGGGCTTCCTTCCAGGCCGAGCCCTCCCCGAGCCTGCCTCCCCTTCAGAGTCTCCAGTCTCCATAAACAGCACCACCATCTCCCCAAGAGCTCAAGTCAGAACCGGGGCATCATTCTTGACATCTCCCCCCCTTCACACGCTACCACATGGATGACCCTGGGGAGTTATGCTGAATGAGATAAGCTGGTGGCAAAGAGACAAATACCGTGCGATCCCACTTACATGAGCTACGTGGGGTGGTCGAACTCACAGAGATAGGAGGTGGGGTGGCGTTGGCAGGAGCCAGGGTGGGGGGCATGGGGGCTGTTTCATGCCTACAGAACTGCAGTTTGCAAGGTGGAAAGGCTTCAGACACGGGTGGTGGCAGGGGGTGCACGATAGCGTGAATGGACTTCCCGCTACTGAACTGTAGGCTTTAAAATGGTTAAAACGGGGGGCACCTGGGTGGCTCAGTAGGTTAAGAGTCTGCCTTCGACTCAAGTCATGATCCCAGGGTCCTGGGATCGAGTCCCGCGTGGGGCTCCCTGCTCTGCTCCCTGCTCCCTCTGCCTGCAGCTCCCCCAGCTCATCTCTCTCTGTCAAATAAATAAATAAAATCTTTAAAAATAAATAAATAAAATCATTAAAATGGTAAATTTTATGTTATGTGCTATTCACTACAATTAAAAATTGAGCTGGATTAAAAAAGAAAAGAAGCATGAATCAGATCCCGTCCGTATCTTGAAACCCTTCGGTGGTTTTCTGCTGCATTGAGGATTCTGTCCTGGCTGTGGCCATGGCTCAGGAGGCCCTGCATGGTCTGCCCTGGCGCCTCTCACACATCCTTCCCCTTGCCCGCCCTCACTCACCACCTGGGGTTTCCCTTCCTGCTCCTGGAGCACTTTCAGCAAGTCCTGCCTGGCTATGCATCTCCTCCCGTGCCTGTCCTTCTGCCCAGGCTTCCCCCACCCTCACCCGCCACCCTCTCTCCAGACCCCTGTGTCCCCCCCCCACCAGCCTTCTTTGTCCACTCCACGGCCAGCTGCCGTCCCCACCTGGACACCAGCCCCTGGTCCTGGAGCAGAGTGATTCCCGCCCTCTGTCAGATGCCCTCCTGTGGGACCCACCACAGGCTTGCAAGTGCTACCCATGGAGTCAGCTGGGGGCGCCCTCGCAATCACCCAGCAATGATTTCTGTCCTCTGGCTCACTGCCCAGTGAGCAGCAGTGAGCCGGAGCTTGGGGACAGGGCCTGGGGACATCGGGGGCAGAGCTCAGACATGAAGAGACAGCACGTGTCCCCCACCTGGGACAGAGCCCCGAGTCTAGCCTCTGGGTCGCAACAGACCATCAGTTGCCACTTGATTCCACTATTGCGTTTGCTCTTCGTCTTCAAGCTCGTCCACACCTGCAAGCCAAGTTCCTCAGCAGCGGTCAAGCAAAGAACCCAGGGGGAAAGTGGCTTTCCTGAACTTGCTGAAAAGAGATCTATTCACCCCTCTGGGTTTGGAACAAAAATGATACGCCTTAGGGGAGTTCTGCAACCAACTCTGACCCTATAAGATGAGCTGATACACCCCTCTCGGGAATACAAGCCTCACATAAAATGCAGCCCCGCTGTGGTCACTAATATCGATCTCTCTCGTCTTCCCGTTTAATTCCTTCGTCCACTGCTGCCCCCGCATAGTGCCCAGCATACAGCAGGTGCTCCATAAATGCCTATTCAATGAAAGAGGAGGGCCCACCTGGAGCCACACTCTTCTGGCACCCCCTTCTTCCTTCAGAGCTCCTCGTAATCGTCTGCCGACCTGGAGGGGGACCGAGGTCTGGGGGACCCAAAGCAAGAATCAGATTTGATGCGCAGACACGTGGCCTTTATGGCTTCAGAGGGACCCTCTCAATTTGTGGCCTTAGAGTCAGATCAGAATGTGCAGTGCCCGGGCATGCACCAACTGAAATGAGGTAGCTCAACCGCCAGCGGCCGATGGGAACCAGAGTAGCCCGGATGACCTGGAAGCTGGCAATAGGTTGCTGATGACCATGACAGCAGGCAGGCCCCGTGGTCGGGGCGTCCCCGCCACGCCAGCAGCCACGGTCATCGAGAGGCCTGTGTGGTACCAGGGGCCACTCCCCCCTCCTCTCTACTGAGTCCTGGCATCCTTCTGTGAATCTCTAGAACAAATCCCAACAACACAGTGCTTTTTGCTCCTTTTTCTTCTCTCCATCCTCAGGCCCACTGCTCTGGATCAAGTGCCCATCATTTCCCATCTGGGCAGATGCAGGGCTTCTGTTCAGGTGTCCTGGCCCTTGGGCTTACCTTTCTCCAGCCTTCTCGCACCTGCTGCTAAGGGGATCGTTCCACAACACAAACCTAGAGGGGCCTCTATTGCCTCCAGCATAAAGACCAGACTCAGCCAGGCTTATGAAGTTCGCTCAAGCCAGACCCACTAACTGGACCCACCTTCCTCTTTCCCCCACCACTGCTCTCCTGGATATTATGGAATTCATGCTAAACTACGTGCTGCTCCCCAAATGGACCAGAGTGTCTTCTGCCTCTGTGCCTTTGAGCATCATATGCCCTCTGCTCCAAATGCTTTTGCTTGCCTTGGCCACCTGGTAAACTTCTAGCCATTCCTGGATACAGAGGCAGCCAAAACTGAGTTACTGGACATCTTCTACATTGCTGCTTTCCACCAGAGGCTGGAAGGCAAACCTTCCACGTCCCCAGCCTCTCCTGCAGCAAGAGGTAGCCATGTGAAAGCCACTGCCTGGCACTAGTACTTCTCTCCTTCTTCATGTCTTAAGCCCAGATGTGATGGTTGGTGCTGTTGCAGCCACCTTGTGACCATGTGGCAACAAGCATCACACTAAGCATGGTGAGGTGGAAAGATGAACAGTACCTGGATCCTTGATGATAGGGCTCAGCTGCCAGGCCAACCCCAAGTAGCCAACCTTCAGAATTCTTATCTTTAAGACTGAAGATCCTGCTGGCCAAGCTTTCTATTCCTTGCAGCCAAAAGCACTCCCAACTGAGCCTGGGCCTCACTTCAAGCATCCCTGACTCATTGAAGTCCCTCCCTGGATCCATGTTCCCATTACACCTTGCACATACCTGTCCCAACGCTTGCCCTAATCACTGTATATTTTTCCCTTGTGTCCCTCCACCCTAGATTGTGACCTCTCTGAGGAAGAGATTGTTGGAGAAGGTCATCAAAAAAGATGTGACTGCCGGTTGACCCCTGAGCTGGACCGGGGCACTCAGAGGCTCTTCACTCCCTCCCTTGTCCTTGGAATTTGGGTTCTGTTGGCCTTTCTCCCTCCCAGAGGCTGCTCCAAGGACACAGCCCTAAAATAAGGATGTGGTGTTGAGAATATAGTATACGTGACCGATCCCAGCTAAGGCCTCTCTCCCCTCTCTCTCTCTCTCTCTCTGTATGTGTGTGTGTGTGTGTGTGTGTGTGTGTATATATATATATAAACTTTTACAATTTGGCAGACAGGTGCAGAGATCCACTCGTCTTACTATTGCCCAAGACAGGCCTCGTATATAAGTTCCCTTGGCTTATGAAAACCATCACTACAAAGCTGGAGTGGCCTGCTTCCCTCTGCCGTCTCTCCCTGACCTCCATGTAGGGGAACCTGTTTCAGATCACACTCGGGAGAGTGGTAACCTACAGACCTTGAGTCTTCTCAGCTGCGATCCTTAGCCCCAGCCCCAGCCACCGGCACACAATAGTACACAGTAAGTGGATTTGTAGAACAGGCTTTCATTCCAGCCTCATTCTTTAACCTTACACTTAAATCATTTTGCTAATAAGCTGCCTCCATTCCTTATTTGAAAAAAGCAAGGAAAATAGGTTGGTCATTTTTAAGACAAATAACTTAATGCAGATTACCGAGATATTGCAGAGGAACAAAAAGGCTGCAATATTCCTCAACACTCTTCTCTTGGCATGGCCCTGCAGGAAACGGGGGCGGCAGGCTGGGCTCGGGGTCCCTTCCCGGCTCCCCTCCTCCGCCTCTCTGCCACAGCCTTCTCTCAGATGCATGTTTCCATTGGCCACATGTGGTATCTCACTGCCCAGGGAAGCCACGTCAGTGGCCACGGCTCCGCTCTTGAGGCAGGACGAGGCGAGGGGTATGGCATCACCGTTGCAGACTGTGACTACCCGCAGGGTTCTGATGTCCTCGGAGAGCTTCTCCGGCTCCCGGTGAATGGACTCGATGATGAAGAGGTTCTGGATGTATTTCTCGGCAATCACCAGGATGGAGTAGGGCAGGTTGAACCAGGTGTAGGGGGGGCGGGCTTCAGCACAGAGGATGGCCAAGATGGAGCCCCAGGAGATGAGCCAGGAGCCGGAGGCAGTGCCCACCAAGAGGTCCGCGTCCAGTTTGCGGGCTGGGTTTCTGGACTCATCTAGAGATTTCTCGTCTATCCTGTAAATCCAGATTCCAAACAGCCCCGCGGCCCCCATGAGCATCAGTAAGGCGATGGCATACAGGTAGAACATGATGAGTGCCAACTCGCTCTTGGTTTTGGAGCGCCCGATCTGAATCAGATATACCACCACGATCCCAATCGTGGCGGCCAGCACGGTCAGGCCCAGGACCGAGCCCGCCATGACCCCGGGAAATCGGAACTGTATGTTCTGATGCTGTTGACTGTCCACTTTGCGTCCGATGTTCTTCCATAGGACGTAGAGCATCGTGGAAGCCAGGATCTGATACTCTATGTTGAAGGGGTAGAGGTAGTAGATCCCCTGGGAGATGGCAGAGCAGAACGTCGGGGGCGAGCAGTTACACGGAGGCGTGTGGTCATCCAAGACTGGGGGCCAGAGGACACGCATTGGAGGGCGGTTAGCATGGTCAGTGGGCAAGTGGAAAAGCACAAGGAAATATTTTCACTGAGGATTCACACGTGGGTTTTCCCATTGAATTAAAGCTTTGTTTGGTGGCTTATTGTCATGTTTGATATCATGGCTATATTGACAGTCATGAGTACTAACTGCATGAATCAGACTTTATCCATACATCAGCCCTTGTGAATGGTATTGTGGAAATTTACTTAACATATAAAGGTGTTCACGAGATTCTGCTGAACGAAAGAAGCTTGCTAAAGAGGATAGAATATGATTCCATTTTTATGAACTATAGGTATATGGATGATAAGATGATAGATAGACACAGAAAAAATCTGGAAAGATAAAAGCTAAAAGGTTAACAATGGTTAGATCTGGGTGGGAAAATGGCAGGGAATTTTTCTTTTCTTTTCTTTTTCAGTAGAAGAAAGTTCTATCTTGTCTCTTCCCCCATCTTTATGGAGATATAATTGACATGTAACATTGTGTAAGTGTAAGGTGTCCATTGTTACTTACTTGTAGTAACTTGTTACTAGTAACTAGTTACTTGCTTCCCTGTATTCTCTAAACTTTCTTTGTGAATATGATTTACGTGTATGATTTTTTATTTTTTTTTTAAAGATTTTATTTATTTGACAGAGAGAGAGACAGTGAGAGAGGGAACACAAGCAGGGGGAGTGGGAGAGGGAGAAGCAGGCTTCCCGCAGAGCAGGGGGCCCGATGCGGGGCTCGATCCCAGGACCCTGAGATCATGACCTGAGCCGAAGGCAAACGCTTAACGACTGAGCCACCCAGGCACCCCCGTGTGTGATTTTTTAAATTATTGGATTCTTTTAAAGATTTGTTTATTTATTTTAGACAGAGAGAGAGTGCAAGTGAGGAGAGGGGTAGAGAGGGAGGGAGAGAAGCAGACTCCCTGCTGAGCATGGAGCCCAACACGGGGCTGGATCTCATGACGCTGAGATCATGACCTGAACCAAAACCAAGAGTCAGACGCTTAACCAACTGAGCCACCCAGGTGCCCCTAAATTATTGTTTCAAAAAATAACTTTGTGAGGGAAAATGCCCCTTCTCATTAGCAAAGATTTCACTCCTGAGAATATTCGATACTTGCAAGTGTAGCGCGAGACAGGTGCCATCCAAACCAATGGTCGGCACGCAAGTGGGCATCACCTTCCAGAAGGCACTTGGCAATGGTCTAAAGAACTATGTCAAACTGGGTGACGGGCATTAAGGAGGGCACGTGATATGATGAGCACTGGGTGTTATACGTAACTGATGAATCACTGAACACTGCACCTGAAACTAATGATGTACTACAGGTTGGCTAATTGAATTAAATTAAAAAAAGAACTATTTCCTAACAAGGAGTGAAAATGCTGTAAATAAATAATAAAATAGGTAACAAAGGCTATAGTCTCTGACCTATAATTCCGATCTATTTTAAGGGACAAGTCAAAAATGTGATCAAAGAATTAGGTAAAACTGTGTGTGTGCATGTGTGTTTGTGTGTGTGCATGCACATGAGAGAGAGAGAGAGAAACACTCCAGTGCCCAACAATTTAGAAACTGTTAAGTGAATTTTGGTACATCCATACAATGGAATAGTAGGCAGCCATTCAAAATTATAATTAAGTTGTGTTTTAATGATACAGGAAAATAATCACGTTACATAACAATGGAAACAAGTAAGAATAAATTGTATATACAGTATCTTCTAAATGCATATCACAGCTCAGTACTCAGTTGTGAAATCAATTTAGCGAATAGCTGCCAATATATTTTTTCAACAGAGTAGACTTGTCATGGAATAGAACAGAATGCAATGGAATGACATCAGTAACAATAGAAATGTGAGTGTCTCTAATATGGTAAGGTTATTATTTCATGACATATGTGTGTACACACACAGGTCTGTGTGCGTTTAGGTTGCAGCTTAAGGTCTATTTCTTAGGCTGCAGTCAAAAAAAAAAGATCGAATATATATAGTATGATCTTAACTATAAATAAATAAATAGGACACTGCAAAGAAATAAGCCAATATTAACAGCATGGAACTGCATTTCTGGGTAGGTGTTATTGTAGATTTTTTTTTTTTCTCTATACTTTGTCATTGTTTTAGCTTATGATTTGCATATGCCAGGTATAAAACCAAATGGAAAGCTTTGTGGCAGCACAAATCTCCTCACCTTTGCAAAATACTGCAATTTTGAATTCATAAGGAGTTTCCCACCCCTTATAGCCCAGTATGCTACTATGCAAAAGTCAGGGGAAGAAATCGAGGAGAAAGGCTCAGATGAACAGAATGTTAGAGCTGATGGAGTCCTTTCTTTGTAAATTTATCCAATTCCATCTTTCCACAGAAGTTCCTGGAGCCAAATCAAACCCTGGTTCAATCATTTACTTGCTGTGTGAACGTGGGCCAGTTACTTAACTACCCTGTGGCTTGATGGCTTCATACGTATGATAAGGTCAACACTGACTACCCCACGGTGTTTTGGGTCCAGAATTAAATATGCCACGTGGAGGGACTAGAGCAGCCTGCCAGGCACTCAGCAGACACTTAATAAAAGTTTGTTGTTGTTGTTGTTGTTTTCACTGCTGTTACCATTATGGGCACCAACAAGGAAAAGAGAAGGACTTCCCCAAGAGCTGGCTGCCAGGGTAGAGCAGGGGTTAAGGGGTAAAGAAGTAGCATGTATCCCTGATTTCACCATCCCCACCCAACTGGTGAGGAAACAGTTTTAAGGTTGCCCCCAGGGCACCTGGGTGGCTCAGTCAATTAGGCTTCCATGATCTCAGGGTCGTGATCTCAGGGTCATGAGATCAAGCCCGGCATGTGGCTCCGTGCTGGGTGGTAAGTCTGCTTGAGATCCTCTCTCTCCCTCTGCCCCTCCCACCTTGCTCTCTCTCTCTCAAATACATATATAAATCTTGAAAAAAAAAATAAAGTTGCCCTCGGTGACGGGCCTGGGGTCGTACAGTGAGTGTAGAGTATAATACATCAAAGCTGGAAGGACCCCCTGAAAGTGCCTGGTACAGGTCTCCTCACTCTATGAATGAGAAAAGGGAGGCCCAGAGAGGTTGAACGGCTTCCAAAAGTCACACAGCCAGGACGTGATGAGAACAAGACCCAAATCTGGGATATCCGGTTCCCGGTACATTTCCCCTCCCCACATTCCCATCAGCCCCATCCCACTGCTCTAACAGAGAAGCGACAGGTCATAAATGCTAAAGAACTTTGGCAGTAGATTGACTGGCATCATGGGCTCTCAAATAGGAGCAAGGGGGAATAAAGATGGGCCAAAAGTGCAAGCCCAGAAGAGTTCAATAAAAACTTCAAACAAACTAAAACCAATTAATGGCAACCCTTAGACTTCTCTGGGTATTTTAAAGCTATACTTTTAGTCAAATGAACTGGTAATAGAAGCTTAATTAAAAACACAATGACTGCCAATCTTCCATAGTTGTGAACAAAGACATTGACTTCCATACCAAACTCTACCGTGAGAAATGGTACCCTAAATGATAACCCTTGGGTCTGACAAGTCCCTGAGTCACCGAAGAAACCATTAATTATGCTCAGCACATCCTACTTATGGAACCAGGATGAGGGACTTAGAAGGTTTTGAAAGATTTTCAACAACAGATGATTGTCTGGCCAGTGATGAGTTGGGTGGACCCTGCCCCTCCATCTCTGAACATTCTGGTCTCTGCGGGTTTCCAAGAGGTTCCAGCATGGGGGCAGGGCAACTCTTATCACTCACCTATTGTGATGTTCCCAAAGCCCAGAGTGATGAGCCGTTCCTTGTGCTCATTAAGTTGGTGCTTTGATTCATTCAGGACGCCATTGGTCCACAGAAGCAGATTGGTGAACACCGAGTGTATCACCCCAAACCTGGAAAACACAAGGACTCTGTTATTGAGCAGCCCTGGGAAGCTCCAAGCCCCATGGGGTGAGATGGAGACATCGCACGCATGCACACTCACTCACACACACACACACACATGCATGCTTCCTTCTTAGCCATGATTCTGGTTTCACCAGGCAGCTCATACTCTGGGTGGGTCCCTGTATGGGGAGAGGCAGTTCCATGGGAACTTCCAAAACCACAGTCTTGGCATTCTGTCATAATACTGAACCTGCCAGTACTCAACTCATTGTCAATGGGACAAAAAGAAACTGGGTCTTGGAAGCAGGGGTCCAGTGATGGAAAATTACTGAAAGCACACACCATCCTCACCATACCCCAAACTCTTTCTTCCAGAAGGGAAGAGGAGAGAACCATGAGGGAAAGATGAAGGGCTACACTGGAAATCTGGAGAGTTGAGCAAGCCCTTACTGTTGGCTGGCCAACCCAATGATCATCATCCACCCCCTCTGTCTTACAACTTAACTCTAAGCAAACTGAAACAGGTCAGAGACTTGCTCTCTGGTCTCCCCTGAAGTTAGGCATGGCCACTCTGCCCAGCAGGATGTGAGGTCAAGACTACTGGGCACTACTGAAAGCTTCTGCTTTTCTGATGAAAGAGATGAGAATAAGAAAAGCCTACTCACTGTCCCTCTCCCCTTTATTTCCAGCCTTGCATACAGACACGAAGGCTGGCATTCTGGCAGCTGTCTTGTGACCATGAAGCAACCAGCGTGGGATGAAACGCTAATCCACTGAGAATGGCAGAGGGAGAGCACAGAAAGAGTCTGTTCTGTGGCAACACAGATCTGAGCTGCTGGAGTCTCAGATAGATTCAGGAATTAGGCTGAGGTCACAAATAAAGGCAGTAGCTGCCTTGGGATTTGAAGAACTAGTAAGCAACAGGGCTGTCCTACTCTGACCTCCAGGACCTGCCCTTGCCTCAATGCCACGCCACTTCCGGGAAGAAGAAGATGAAGAGGAAGGTGGACGCTGGACTCTGGCACAGAAGAGAGGTCTGTGGGGAATATGGTTCCAATGGGATCAGAGCCTGTCTCAAAACCCCCAGTCTCCCCATGCTTGAGATTTAAGACGTATGCACACTGGTAGTCTCCAGGCACTTAACAATGGGCCTTGCACGTAGCAGCAGCAGCAAATCCTGATGATTTGGGAGAGGCATCCTTGAAGCATGCAGAGCTGATGGCTCCTCGGGTGGAAAGCACAGGCCCCACAGGAAGCATGCTCCAACCCGCCTAACCGACAGCACGCTTGTCCACGATCTGCCCGCAGGAAAACTGGTACAACTGGGTCCTCAACCCTGACCTTTCCTCTCCTCTGAGTGTTAACCCCAGCCAACCCCTCTGGGGCTCCCACAAGCGACCGCAAGCCAAACTTCCCTCGTTTGAACCCTGGCTTCTTTAGACAGCTGCAGAATGACCAGGCACACGTGGAGAAGGAGACAGGTGTTTGCCCATCTGCTCGCCCTTGAGCTTGCCCAGCTCTATTGATTGTGGCCAGCCTGCCCTGGGGCGTCTGGGAGGCACTGGACAGATCCTTGGACAAATGCAGACAATGCTGTTTGCCTCGGGCTTCCTTTTCTTTTACTTATAATGCACACAGCTCCCTTTTCTTCTCCTCTTTCCTGGGCCAAACGGCCCTGTCCAATCCCAGGCCCACTGAACCCGATGAGATAATGTCCATGCCACCTGCAGCCAGAGCCTGGCGTGCCATGCAAGCTCCCCGCAAGCTGGCAGCCTCCTGCTGGTCTGACCTGGAATTGTCCTACAAACTAAAGGCAGACATCACTTCCTCATGCCAGGCCACCCTTCTCATACTTGGGGCTGATACAACAAAGACAAGGCTTCCATGAGCCACTTCTAATCTCAGTGTATGTCCTCAGCTCTGCTTTCAGAACTCCTGTTCCTCTAAACCTCACCCTGGGGAAGAGAAAAGGACTCAAGCAAATTAAAGAGAATTCTTAGATCAGGAGAAAAGTCCCAGGACATACTAAAAGCATGGGACAGTGGAATATTGGCTCAAAAGACTGGGCGGTGGGGGAGTGGGGGGGACAAGTCCCAGAGTGGTAAGTTCTGAAGCCTTCAGGGCCTGGCAGGAAATGTGAATGAAGAAAGCAGGTCTGGGCCACATTAGGGAGTGGTGGGGTCTGTAGCAAATGGAGGAAACAGACCCCATTCAGCTCTAACCCTTTGTTGTATGCACTTATGGGATTGCCAAATCTTCTAATTTTTCTAGAGAAGTCTAAATCTAAAACCTGAAGGTGGCGAGTAACTCAAAAGTGTTTTAACACTTTGCCCTACAAACAAAACAGATTAAATTAAGCTCTATGCCTATCTTGTTCAAGCCTCTCTCCACCCGGGTTAGCAAAGGGGCCCCAAGACAGGGAGAGACTTGTGTCCAATCACTCAACAAGCACAGCACGGCGTCCCATCCCTTGGAGATCCTTCAGATGACAGATCCGAGTGGCAAATGTCTGGGTGCAAGGCCTAGAGCAGTGTTGTCCACACACCGATGGTGCGAGACACAGCCACACGTGTGATTTTAGATGTTCTTGCCGCCACTTTTTAAAATGTGGTAAGACAAGGGACAGGTGAAAATGGTTGGAACAATTTTCTCTGAAACCCAATCTATTGAATATGCTATGATATCAACATATAAGCAATACCAACAAAAAGTATTAGTGAGATATCTTACATTCTGTTTGTCATCCTAGTCTCTGAAATCTGGTGTGTATTTTATACTTCCCGCACATCTGGGTTGGAAGTAGCCCCAGCTCAAGGGCTCAGTGGCCCCAGGTGGCTGGTGGCTGCTATCCTGAGCGGCGAGGATGTGGAAAGCAAAGCCAAAGACCCTTTTGCGCCTGGAGGGAAATGGGCCCAATGTCCTGAGGCTGTTACTACATAAGTGACAAAAGCAAAGAGAGAGACCCCACCAGCAAAGCCAGAGGGCCTCTGCGGTCACAGCAACACGTGAAAATCACAGTGAGTTTAAAGTCAACAATCATAAAAAAAATCATTTAAAAAAAGCTATAAAGTCAACATCCAGAGTCTTGGTTTTCTCACCTGCTAAATGATGATGAGATGCTCAATGCACATCTGTTGAAAATATCTCGCCCTTGACCCCAACAATTCTATTCTAGGACTTTAAGCCAAGCAAATCATCAGAGATGTTCAAAAATATGTTTGACCAGAGATGTTCATCACAGTATGATTTATAACAGCAACAAAACTTTCAGAAAGATTAAACATTCAGCAACAGCTGTTATGGACTGGCTTGTGTCCCCTCGAAAGTCCTCTGTCGAAGCTCTGACCCCCAATGTGACCATATTTGGAGAGCCTCTAAGGAGGTAATCAAGGGTAAGTGAGGTCACAATGGTGGGACCCTAATCCAGTAGGCCTGGTGTCCTTTGAAAGGGAGGAAGAGACAGCAGAGTTCGATCTCTCTCCCTGAGCACAGAGGCAAGGCCACGTGAGGCCACAGCAAGGAGGCAGGGTCTGCAGGCCACCGACACCAGCCCTGCTGCCACCTTGATCTTGGATTGCCAGCCTCCAGGACCATTAGAGCCGCACGTTTGGGTGGCTCAGGCCTCCCCGTGCGCGGCGGTCTCTGACCAGCCCCAGCGGAGCACCACGGCAGGGGCTGCTGAGACCAACCCCAGGAGCGGCGCGCTGGGCAGGCGGGAGAGGCCATGGTGTAGACCCACACCACGGACGGGAGGGCAGGAGAACGAAAAAAATGAAAAGCAGCAGCAGAGCAAGAAGAAAAAGAAAAAAGGAATAAAAACAGTATCTATTCGTGGAAAAAAGCCTGGCAAGAAGCAGATCATAATCAACAGTAGTTACCGCTGGGTGGCGGGCATCTTAGTTCTTTTTGCTGGGTTCTCGGGGCCTGGACCGCGCTTGTCCCTGATTTGTCCCATTTGACGGCATTTGTCCATGCCCCTCCCCTGGAGGCGAAGCATCTGCGCCACTTCGGGCCCCTCCCTGCTGCCCCTTTCCCCCGCCCCCCGCCCCGCAGCAAGGGGCGTGGCTTCTCCCGTTAAGGCGGGGGTTAAAGATCACTGCCAAGGCCACCCCTGGGAGCTATGGCGGGGTGGGGGTGGGGGGGATAGCACGGGCTGCCAGTGCACAGCTCCTGGGACCTCCCACCACGTGCCTGGGATACCTGGGCCCATCATCCCTGCCTGGCAGCCGGCTCTGCGCACATTAGCAGCTCCCTAGATGCTTAACTGCTTGTGGGGCTGAACTTTCTGCCTAAGGAGATCGGTGAAAGTTATTTCCATATAAATAGTCTATCAAAATAGTTCTATCCAGTGGTCATCCATAAATCAATCTTTTAAATACCTGTTGTCATTTCAAATGGTACTGGGAGTTGTCTGTTCCTCACGGATATAAGAGATCTTTCTAGGAAGCAAACGCTGATCCTTTGATGCGCTGGTACGTGTTCACCCAGGGCTTTCTTGCATGATAACAATACTTGCCGTCTTGTTAATTCACCCTTGTATCCTATAGGTTCTTTCTTTCTTTCTTTTTTTTTTTAAAGATTTTATTTATTTATTTGACAGAGAGAGAGACAGCGAGAGCAGGAACACAAGCAGGGGGAGTGGGAGAGGGA